AAAAAAAAAAGCCATAGGAGCTAGTTTGAAGAGGCTCCCCCTAACCAAATGAATTACAGTGTATATAAATCATATACATGGTTTATATACCACATACACAAATAAGTCATATTTATAAACCACACATACATACTCTCTCACACACAAAATAGACTTAATGAGTCTAAATGATAGTAATTGGGAGAGTAGGAAAGCTCATTTTTAAAGTAGCATGCCAACCAATAAATGTTCAGAGAAGAGTCAGACAATCACTATTTTGCAGCCATTACAGTAATAACTGATTAAAGTAAAAATCATCAGTAAATGCTAAAATTCCTGTAAAGTTGGAATGGGATATCTACACAGTCTTCCCACAAATTACTTATTAAATACAAAGGGAAAAATAGTAACCACACTGCAGAAACCCAAAAAACACCACCACAACTAAGTGATTAAAGTTATTATCACTAATGAAATAAGGGGCAAACTGACATCAGGTATCTCCAAGCTGAGCGCTGAAAAGGACACATCACCACTTACATAGTGTTTCTGCTCCGACACAAAACCCAAGTCTAATCACGAGGAAACGTCAAGCAAACCAGATTCAGGGACAATATACAAACAACTAGACTGTACCCTTCTAAAATTCAATGTGAAGAAATACAAAGGCTGAGAAGTTGTTCCAGATTTGAGAATAATAAAGAGATAAAATAATTAAATGTAATGAATGATCCTAGATTGAATCTGAAATCGAGGAGGAAAGAAAAAGAAATGCCAGAAAGGACATGACTGGGATAACTGGCAAAATTTATAGCCTATAATTGCATAAAAATACTGATTCATTGTTAGATTTTCTGACTTTGCCAACTGTGCCCTACAATTATGTAACATTTGCCCTTGTTCTTAGGTAACACATGCTGAGGTATTTAGAGGTAAAGGGGCATAACATCAAAAATTAACATTCTCAAATGGTTCAGAAGGAAAAATGTTTAAGAAATTATAAAGCAAATATGACAAAACTATATTTACTGGTGAATCTGGAAGTTCTTTGTACTTTTGCAACTTTTTATAAGTTTGAATTTTTATCAAAATAAAACATTTTAAAAATGAAAACAAATGAAGGCATAGCAGGGCTTCTAGGGATAATGTTAATGGTTTGTCTACCAATCTGTATGCTGGTTTACATGGGTATGTTTAGTTTGCAAAAATTTATGAAGATGTACATTCATGTTATGTCACTTTTCTGTATCTCAAAAAAGGTAATACAAAAAATTTTAAAGATTAAGCAAAACATTCTGATATATTAAATGTAATAATTTACTTAACTATGCCAATTTACTGGTAAGTACAGAAAGTTGGCAACCCACAGTTCTAGGGATAAAGTTCAAAAAACCATTAAAAAATGTGCGAACATATCAACAGATATCTACACAATAAGAGAATCTAAGTTTTAAACAATTAAAACACAGTGTTTAGGTCAGTAGTACAGCTCGTTACTGTTAAATAGCTGCTGTATAGACTCTACATAGCTTAATAAATGGCATTACTGTCTTCTCCCTAAAGTCAGCAAAATTTTACTTTCAAAGATGTCTATCTAATCTCCATAAATATAATGAGTAAAACAGAAAAAAAGAATTTTAGGGAAATAATTCACAAGGACTGAAAAATATCCTTTTGATCAAATGAAGATGAATCCAGAAAACAAACTTTTCTAATGAGTAATGCGCACTGTCCTTTATATAAGAAATTGACAGCATTAACAAGTAGTTTCTATAGGGTGTAGAGGTAATTGTTCATTTTTTCTTTAGTAGTGATCAATGTGCTAATTTTTCCATCCTTTTTTACCTCCTTTTCACTGTCCCTGACCCATCTCTGCCCTCCCATCTGTCCCTATTTATCTCTCCTTAGATCCATGGTCCACTGTTACAATCTCACTCCCTTGTCAATCACTCTCATGTTCCTGGCCCCTCTACTCCTTCTTCATATTTGCCTGCTATAATCTTAACGCCTGTTAAATCCAGCTCTGACTATTCTCCATGAACACTCATATACATGACAAGAGTGAGACAAACACACAAGAACAAGCTGACTTGTCTCATTTTAAACCCATGGACATTAACCTCAACTATGAAACTACTAAAAGAAAACATTGGGCAAACACTGCAGGACATTGGTCTGGGCAAAGATTTCTTGAGTAATACCTCAAAAGCACAGGCAACTAAAGCAAAAACAGACAAACAGGATTACATCAAGCAAAAACGCTTCTGCACAGCAAAGGAAACAACCAACAAAGAGACAACCTACAGAATGGGAGAAGATATTTGCAAACTACTCATCTGACAAGGGATTAATAACTAGAATATATAAAGAGCTCCAACAATTCAATGGGAAAAAAAATCAAATAACCAGATTAAAAAGTGGGCAAAGGATCTAAACAGACATTTCTCAGAAGACATACAAATGGCCAATAGGTATACGGAAAAAATGCTCAACCTCATTAGTCATCAGAGAAATGCAAATCAAAACTACAAAGAGAGATCATCTCACCCCAGTTCAAATGGCTTTTTATCAAAAAGATAGGCAATGACAAATGCCAGCAAGAACATGGAGAAAGGGGAACCCTCATACACTATTGGTGGGAATGTAAATCCGTACAGCCACTATGCAGAACAGTATGGAGGTTCCCCAAAAAACTAAAACTAGAACTAACTACCATGACATAGCAATCCCATTGCTAGGTATATACCCAAAAGAAAGGAAATCAGTGTATCAAAGAGCTATCTGCACTCCCATGTTTATTTTAGCCCTATTCACAATAGCCAAGATTTGGAATCAACGTAAGTGTCCATCAACGGGTGAATAAAGAAAATGTGGTACATATACACAACGGAATACTATTCAGCCTAAAAAAAAAAGAATGAAATCCTGTCATTTGCAACATGGACGGAACCGGAAAACATTACATCAAATGAAATACGCCAAGCACAGAAAGACAAATTTCATGTGTTCTCACTCATATGTGGGAGCTAAAAATTAAAACAATCTCATAGAGATAGAGTAGAATGATGATTACCAGAAGCTGGGAAGGGTAGTGGTGGGGGCAGGGGGGAGGGAGGAGGAATAAAGTGGGCATGGTTAATGGGTGTAAAAATATAGTTAGAATAAGATCTAGTATGTACAACAGGGTGATTATCTATAGTCGACAATAAGTTGCTGTATATTTTAAAATAAAGAAGAGTGAAATTGGAATGTTCCTAACAAAAAGAAATGATAAATCCTTGAGGTGATGGATACTCCAATTACCCTGATGTGATTATCGCCCATTGTATGTCAGTATCAAAACATCACAAGCACTCCATAAATACATAACTATTAACCATACTAATTAAAAATTTAAAAATTTTTTAAAAAGAGAGAAAGAGTTAGAAATACACAGTAGTCCTCCTTTATCCTCAGGGTATAAGTTCTAACACGCCCAGTGCATGCCTGAAACCACATATAATACCAAACTGAATATATACTATGTTTTTTCTATACATACATAACCTATGATAAAGTTTAACCTATAAATTAAGCATAGCAAGATATTAATAACTAATCAAAGGAGAAAAATTATAGCAATATACTGTAATAAAAGCTATGTGAATGTGGTCTCTCACAGTATTTTACTGTACTGTACCATAGGTAACTGAAACTGCAGATAGAGGGGGACTACTGTACAGTTTCGCTCTCCGTGTCAATTTTTACTGACTTATTCCTATCTGCATATAAAAATGCTGTAATTTCTCCCATCTTGAAAAAAAGCCATCTCTTGACCTCACATTTCCCTCCAGCTACTTGCCTAGCAATCCTCCTCTTTTCTCCCAGTTTATTCGCATTGCAGCAAAAGACTATTTCAGACCTCCTCTCTTCTCAAACACTCAACATCACCTTCCACTATTCTCGCTCTCACCAGGTAAGTGTGCATTTGCTTTTGCTGGGAAAAACAGAAGCAATCAGAAAGAGAACTTTCAATTACTCCTATTACCACTATTTATCCACCCACCGGTGCTGGTACCCTGCTTCCACTTAAAGCCAACCCCTCCATTTGTATATTACATCCATCCCTTTGGCCTTATTAAGAACCCTGCTCTACAGCAACTGCCCCTTCTCACTCCTTTCATCAATTTCTCCTTTATTAACTCACTCTCGTAAGTATACAAAATGCTATAATTTCTTTCATTTTGAAAAAACTTTCTCGTGACCCCCAATTTCCCTCCAGATATTGTCCCATTTCTCTAGCCCCCACAGGAAAAGAAAAAAAATAGAAAACTGCCCATGTTTTCTCCTTCTAATTCCTTTCCTCCCATTCTTTCTTAAACTCATTCCAAAGAGTTCTTTTATCTTCACCTTCAACTGCTGAGAATGATCCTGGGTCAGGATCACCAATGAATGACCTTCACATTTTAAAATCCAATCATCATTCTTCGTCTTCATCTTCTTGACCAATCAATCGGTAATATTTAATAGTTGATCATTCCTCCTTGAAACATACCCTTTTTGAGACATACACAGGGTTTTCTTCCTATCTCACTAGTCATTCCTCCTTCTTGGTGTCTTCTTACTGGTTCATCCTTATTTTTCTGACCTGCAAGGGAGTGCCC